GAAGCCATACATAAGTTGGGGCCGTTGGGCTCGGGCTGAAATGCAGGGCTCTAAAGCGCAGCTTGTTGCATTTAAGCAGCAAAAATACACACAAAATGACACCAAAATGGCCATCCTGGCCACACAGTTAAATAAATGATAATATTCAGTGATGTGAAATGTGGAGTAAGGTCTGGCGCAGTTGCAGCTTGTACTTATTACTAAAACAAGAAAGCAAATGTGTAGCATTAATAGTCATTAGTTTTAGTTAACATATGCTATGATAATTTGAACAGATTTTTATTCTTATTGTAAAATAATGAAACATTTAGGTCATGAATATTGTCTCAAAAGTCATGGAAATGTATTGGTAAAAATGTGTACGAACCCTGGTTATATATTTTGCTGACTTGTGTACTTGCATTATCCCAAATGTTTAGAAGAATGTTTAAATCCTGAGAAATAAGCTATTTTAACTAGTGACACGGACTGTGTCTATAGTTTCATTGTGTCACCTGCCAATGACGTCACACACCCTCGATTTCCGGTTTTGTTTTGTAGAAAACATGGAAACACCAAAGATGCTTTAATATGTAATGCGTTTTATTAGACAGGTGACGACAGCACAGAGTACATATTGTGCCTTTATATAACTAAGAACCAGTCGTCTGACACAAAATAGATGTCATGTAAAAGCTCTGTACTTTAGAGAAAGTAAATTAATTCAAAAGGTTGGGGTATATATTTTTTTTAAGTAATACTTTCATTCAGCAAGGATGCATTGAATTGATCAAAAGTGACAGTAAAAACTTTTATGTTGTTACATAAACTCTTTATTAATCAAAGAATCCTGAAAAAAACTTAATAGTTTCCACAAAAATACAAAGCATCTGTTTTATTGATAATAATAATTGTTTCTTAAGCAGCAAATCAGCATATTAAAATATTTTGAAAATTCAACTTCGCAATTGCAGGAATAAATTACATTTTAAAATATATTTAAGAAATTTTTTTTTAAATTGTAATAATATTTCACAATATTACTGTTTTTACTGTAATTTTTTTTTTTATTCAGTCTTTTTTGTAAATAATGCATCCTTGCTGGGCATAAGAGACTTCTTTCAAAAACTTTATCAAGTCTTACCAACCCCAAAGGTTTGGTCGGTAGTATACATTATACAAATCAAATGTAATAATATACAAAATGTATATCATATACATTATTTTATATATATATATATATATATATGTGTGTGTGTTTACTTTTATTAAATTTTTATTTACTCATTTAAATTTTCAGAATGCACCTGGAAGAGTTCTTCCGACTCCTCGTGTTCTACAAAGGTATTTGATTTCGATGCAGTAGATTAAGTACATTTTCCCGTTTCTGTAATGTTTCTAACCATCTCTCTGGTTGAACCTACAGAAACTGCAGCACTAAAGACCTGACACAGTTCGCAGCTGATGCCATCGCGTTCAATCGGCAGCTGTCTCAGAAGGAGGAAGAGCAGGAGGACTTCGGTGCCGTGGTCTGCTCCATGAGGCTCTCCCCTCCATCTAACTCTAGATTAGCCCGTCGCCGAGCACAATCTCAAGCACTACGCACCAATAACTGATGCCTACCCACCGCACAGGTGCTCCAGTTATACTCGTGCACACCATAGTCCATTATAACCTTTCATACACATACCTTCTCTGGCGAACGGATGGGTTCTTGAGCAAACACACATGTATATGCACCACAGTCTCAGTGCTACCAACTTTGTAGCATAGACTACCTTATATATATATAGACTAACCTTATATATATATAGACTAACCTTATATATACAAAATAGTTTTTTTGTGTTTTAAGCATCAGAAATTGTTTGTTTTTATATTTATTACCAAATATTTATGGCTGGTGGTTTGTCAGTCAGATATAAAAATGGTGCTCAGCTCTGAGGGAATCTACAGACGGTTTGATTTTAATGTTGCCACATCAGTGAGGCTTTTAATCAACATTAGCATTTCTATTCTTAACAAAACATTGATTCTTTTAACATTTTTAAAAACCGCTCGAGTTACTGTAAAGCACAGGACCTCTTGCTTTGTTACTTTTTTTATTGTTTATTTATATAACGTCTAGCTGTAGTCTAGTTATTGTTGTGTGAATAATGTTTTGGTTTATTTGAGCAATGTAAAGCCATGCTGCCTGACAGTAACATACACATTATAAGCTGTATCATTGTGTATATCTTAAGTGGAAATGCAATCGAGAGGTATTGCTGCTTTACTGAGGGTGCTCATTAGATGTTACATATATTTGGCCAGATATTTTCAGCTCAAATAATTAGTAAATATTGCACAGTATGTATTTTTGTCTTTACAGATTTCAGATGATTATATTTTTTCATTGAATGTTTATTTTTTTTCATGGTTCTGCTTTATGTCTGTTAGAGTGTTGAACATTATTTTGTTGTAAAAGTGAACTATTTTTATATGCGTCAGGGCAATGAGCCGGTTCTGCAGCCGATTCAGTTACGAGATGGAGTATGTTTGACTTTTTTGGTTTGTATTTAGTGCAAATTGTGCCATTTTGGGAGGGGGCAAAGCTCCTAATGTGCAAAAGAACCAAATTACTCTCAATTGCCTTCTTGTATTTTCAAATTCTAAATCATGCACGGTCATTTTTTCCTGTTATTTGTTGCTCAGAATGTTATTTGAGGTAAGATGAAATGGTAAGAGTTTAGTGGTTGTCCATGTATTATGTATGTACCTTTGTGAGTATGTGTTGGGAAACATTGCATGTACCAGGGATGACACTAGAGTGCGCTACCTCATATTAATGGCTATGTTCTCAGTACTCAGTGCTTCTGATACTCTAAAGGAGTAACAAAGGCTAATTTCAGGAATGGTGTCTATGGAATGGCCATTTAACTCCTAAAAAACTGTGGGGCAGATCACAGGTCAGAGGAGTTCATTTGGTTTTCCAATTTTGAGAAATAAAGTAGTTTGCACTGACAATTGAGTCTTTATTCAATGCATTTAATACAGCAATATTGTGGATAACAATATAAATTTTGATGATTATGATATCACTATTATATTAATGCTGATCAAGGCTGCAATCATTAAGATTTTAGGCAAAAAAAATAAAAATCTCTGAATAAAGGAAAGTATATATAGACCCTGTAACTGTTCATAGATTTCTTTTACCACATCTAATCCCTTTTTGCCTTTGTCTACTTTTATATTTCATAAGACCAGAAAACAGTCTGGTCCTTCTTGTAATTTATAGTTTAACTGTACCTCATATTAATGGCTATGTTCTCAGTACTCAGTGCTTCTGATACTCTAAAGGAGTAACAAAGGCTAATTTCAGGAATGGTGTCTATGGAATGGCCATTTAACTCCTAAAAAACTGTGGGGCAGATCACAGGTCAGAGGAGTTCATTTGGTTTTCCAATTTTGAGAAATAAAGTAGTTTGCACTTACAATTGAGTCTTTATTTAATGCATTTAATACTGCAATATTGTGGATAACAATATAAATTTTGATGATTATGATATCACTATTATATTAATGCTGATCAAGGCTGCAATCATTAAGATTTTAGGCAAAAAAAATAAAAATCTCTGAATAAAGGAAAGTATATATAGACCCTGTAACTGTTCATAGATTTCTTTTACCACATCTAATCCCTTTTTGCCTTTGCTAGTTTTAAGACTAACAGTTTGTCTACTTTTATATTTCATAAGACCAGAAAACAGTCTGGTCCTTCTTGTAATTTATAGTTTAACTGCAAAATCGACCTCACGTAAATGGCCTGAATGAACTGCCAGTGCATACTATCTTCCCTGAATGCGAATAAACACAATAACGAAAAGCACAGGCAATAAAGGGAAGTGTTCTATCTGTAAACCTTTCCTCGAGGCTTTCTTAACCCTTGTGTTGTGTTCAAACCCCTATAACACTTGTGATGTTCCAGGGCAAAAATGATTATAAATCACTCATTATGCTATATTATCACCAAAGATTGGATTCAATCTTTTTGTCAACTTCTTTTCTTTCATTTAGGGCTGGTTTTGTATTTATATTTGCATCTGATTAATCGTCGGCCTCATTTATCTGAAAGTAGGCACCTCATTTTTTGAGTGGAAAAAGGATTATGAATAATTTTCACAATATTAAATAAAATGTGGAGAAAATGTGCACTGTTTATCACACTAGTGTACTTTAATGTTTAATCAGGGAGTTTGTTTTGAAAGGCTTTTATTTTGTACAAAATGGCACAAAGTCACACTTGTGGTGTTCCCGGGCACAAAAATGACTGGCCATTCAGAGTGAATGGGAAAGATCACAAAAAACAGGACTTTTGAAATGCTTTTATTTTCTGAAAAGGGGCAAAAAGTAACACTTTTGCGGTTCCCTGTGTAGCGAATTTAGCTCACATCAGGAAATATGAATAATTAACCATTGGTCCAAATGCTACACCTGTCAAATCTGAACATTGTGGCATACGAGAAAGAACACATTTAAGGGTTAGTTCACCCAAATTCTGTCATTAATTACTCCATTTACTCACCCTCATGTCGTTCCAAACCTGTGAGTTGCTTTCTTATGTTGAACATAAAAGAAGATATTTTGAAGATTGCTGGTAATCAAACAGTTGGTGGTTGCCATTGACTGCCATAGTAGGGAAAAAAATATTATGGAAGTCAATGGCAACCACCAACTGTCTGATTACCAGCAATCTTCAAAATATCTTTTTTTGTGTTCAACATAAGAAAGCAACTCACAGGTTTGGAACGACATGAGGGTGAGTAAATGATGACAGAATTTTCATTTTTGGGTGAACTATCCCTTTAAGATTCTTATATAGAGAACATTTCATGGAACAACAAACCAATATTTATACTGTCACAAAAAAATAACACCGACACTGTCATACAGAGACAATGTCATGCAACAACAAATCTGACCATTGTGACATGAAAAAACAGCACTGCCATATGGAGAACATTTCATGGTTCAACAATATTTATATGCTGTCTTTGTGCTAAAGCATTTATTAGTAAACTTTTGTCTGCTTTGTGAGAACATGAAAGCCTCAAAATCTATTGTTATAATATTTTGTCTAGAAGGTGTGATAAAAGAATGAAGATGAAAGAAAGATTCTTTTGAAGCAGGGTGAAGCCAGTGTGTGTGTGTGTGTGTGTGTGTACTGGTTTATATATCCTGGTGGGGACTTAAACCTGACTACACACAGACTCATGGGGACTCGTGTCACGGTGGGGACCTAAATTGTGGTCCCCAAGGGAACAAAAGCTTATAAATCATACAGAATGAAGTTTTTTGAAAATCTAAAAATGCAGAAAGTTTCCTGTGAGGGGTAGGTTTAGGGGTAGGGTTGGTGTAGGGCAATAGAAAATACGGTCTGTACAGTATCAAAACCATTACGCCTATGGAGAGTCCCCACAAGGATAGCTGACCAGACTGTGAGTGAGAGAGAGAGAGAGAGAGAGAGAGAGAGAGAAAGAGAGAGTTATACTATCAGATTGATGAAATTATATTGCATGCAGTTCAGGGTTGGATGAAATAGAAAGCTTGTAATACTCCCAATAGTTTGTATACGTACGTGTGTGTGTGTGTGTGCGTTTTTGTGACAAATGAGGACATAAATTTGTATAATGACAAAGGTATGACATAGGCATTACAAGGAGAAGGTGACTTTTCAGGACATTACCCCATGTCCCCACTTTTCAAAACGCTTATAAATCACACAGAATGGAGTGTATTGAAAATCTGAAATAGCAGAAAGTCTCCTGTGAGGGGTAGGTTTAGGGGTAGGGTTGGTGTAGG